AGTGTACGAGAGGCGCCTGACTGAGACAAGGCAGTTTGGCCGCGGTTTCTGCGTTCCTATTTTCTCGCAGAATGAGCACTCTACGCATGAGTAGATAGACCTTGTAGTAGACCTTTGCCGTTTCTTTCAGAACGGCATCCAAGACGGCTTGGAGTAGTATGCAATGAATATGGTGAGGAGCACTGCGAAGGAATAGACGAGATAGGTAAAAGACATGTTTCTCTTCATTTTCTGCGGAACTCCGTTCGAGCTCATCTTTGGTCGACGGCTGAAAAAATGGGACTGAAACTCCTTGACGGCGGAATAACTAGTACAAGAGAGCTCACTGTTTTTCTGCATTATTGTTGCCCCAAGTTGGGATCAGGGCCTCATCGATGGTGAGGCGGACGTGCTTGATTTTTGCCGTTCGCGTAACTACCTATGGGGACTATATCTTTCTTTTTTCCATTTTCACTTCTTACTTCAAAATGCTGAAGCATTGGAGTCTGAAGAACTTTATAATTTGTCCATTCTGGAAAGCATGAATTCAACTTCTGGAACCCTCAACCTCCACTTATAAATTTTTTAACGATTACGACTTTGTGCCCTACTCACATCAAAATTGGCAAACACAGGTTTAAGGGGATTCAACGAACCGTGTGAGTTGCATATCGTGAGATTTGTTGCAGATTGAAAAAAATTATATTTTATGAGCAAAAACGGAATGGGTATTGTGTGTAGAACTAGGTATGCCGGAAGCTAACAAATGCTTGGAGTGGGTATGGAAAGAAAAGTTGCAATTAACTCGCTTTGGTAAAAAGCACCTGACAATCCATGAAATCTTTAGCAGTAAATACTCGATGAAATCTAAACCGATGTGACGATAGTATAGAAGTAGCCCTGTTATACCTTGGCTCTGTGCAGTGCCAGGGTGTTAAAATGAGTTTATATTTTTTCGATTTGCTGAATTCATCTTCACCATCTAACACTTCGTCCGAGGACCACCTTTCCCAAAACGATTTACGACGCTCCAGTCAGTTGATAATGGTAGCGTTCCACAACATTCTGTGCTTCCATGAAGGTAATGTCCACAAGTCTGCTTTGTTCCATGGAATGAATGTCCACTTCTTAAATATGATGGATGGTAGCAGTTGACAGACGAGAAACATTAGAACTCTCGTTAATTCTTGGAAACTTCCGGATGAATGGAAATTTTTGAGAAGAAACTCCAGAGGTCACAATTTCCTAGTCTTTCTTCCATTTTCACCACATCAAGGAAGTTTAACTAAAGCACTTCATGCAAGTAATGTAAATTCTTATTTCGCATTATTTCTAAAAATTGATATAGTCTCCGACCTATAATGGATTCGCCATGTCGTCGAAATCGCGCAGAAGCCTAAAAATTCCAGTTTTTCACCAGATCGTGCCAATATACAGAGTGTCCTGTACTTCACCGTACCATTTTCAAATTCTAAACTATCTACTAAACTGCGGTAAATAATTTCCATTTTCTGTGCGGTATGCATCTCATTTGGAATTACCTTTCTTGAAAATGAAGTTATTTCCCAGTTTGGAAAGTGCCGGAAAATGCTCTCTGCCATGACATTTATGCATTCGATATGAGAATTGGCACTGAAAAATCGCCGAAACTTCCTTTGGACTTTGATGATACTTTGATAAACCTCCACTCAGTTGTCTACTTTCCTTAGTTGCTCAAGCATCAATTAATTGTGTTGACATTGTGTTGCATTCTTCTTCCTTATGTCCTTTCATGCATAAATACATGCAAGCTTTGTTATACTCAGTTAATTCCCTTCACTTTTCGAAAGTCATGGAAGTAGGTGGCGGATGGCAAACATCGATACTGTTTTTTGAGCAAACTTTGAGCAAGACAAGATAATGGGGAAGACCGAACATTGAAGGTTATCCTTATCTGGTCTCTCATGCCAACTTTTACGAAATTGAAAGTCCACGAGTATTTTGCGATTAGAGGAAAATATAAGATGAACAACTCCGAGCAATATCTTAACCTTGGCATCATTTCCCACGAGAAGAGTGTCAAACATTACTTTGAAATGGTACATTCTCCTTCTAATTTCGTCGTGGGGATTTAACTGGACGAATACTCCTGAACGACAGAAAATAGTCACTTAAAAGCTCTAAACGTATTAGGTATTAGAGCTCAAGTTGTTAGGAAAATTTCTTTTGAATGCCATATACGCCTTAAAAGAATAGACGGATTGCCGTCTATTAAATTGATTAAATTTAAGTTTAGATTAAATTTAAATTTAAGTCGATTAAATTGAGTTGCCAGAGTGAGGACGTGGCCATTGATTGAACACTTACCATCATGGGCCTCAATTATTTCACGCACCTTATGACGGATTGAGGTCGATCGTCATTGATACAGTATGTCAGCTGGTGCGTTCCTCTGTCTCGGAGATAACGTAATCGTTCCGAGTTTTGTAGTTTTTCAGGGACACGACGGGCTGGAAGGAGAGCATCTAGAATCGAATACTATTGATTTCGTAGGGAAAAAATACTATTAAAGCATATTGGAACCAAGCAACCGCTTAGAAGTATAAACCAATACCCAAAGCTTTCCAATTTATGAATCTCCTTTTTCGGATGAAACATTATCATTTTCCCTCTTCGGGGGAAGTTTGCGATTTTTGAAATCTTCCATTTTACATTCTCTAGGCAGCGCCTGAAGATGAACTTCCCAACTCACAAATCGTCGAATTTCCGAGTGTAAAGCAAGGTTGTGGTGAAATTGCAACTCCTGGGCCAGATTGCAGAACATATCTGGATCCTGATTTAAGAAATTAGAGAACATTAAAATACAATTCGCCTGAATATTCTCATGATTCGTTTCTGTCGGTGCCGTACGTTTGAAGCACTTAGACATTGCTCGTGTCTTTGCAGACATGCATGTCAAAAGTCTGGCAAGTTCATCGATTTCCATTCCCCATCAAATGATTTCCATACGTATGGAAGTGGAGGTATATGAATTCACAATAAAATTCGAAGAAGGTGAAAGGAGTCATTCTCTGAAAGGAGTCATTTTATAGAGCAGGGAGCAACTGTAATCGTTAAGAAAATGCACGTAATGGAGCAGAAGTCGTCAATTACCATGCTGTCAGTTTACCAAGTCGAATCAAGTGATGAGGCAAGAGAACCCCTCCCGACTCACCGCAGCAAGCTTGATAGCATCTCCTTTACAATGAGCTTTTTTTTCTCGCGCTCATACTTATTGCACGTTTTCACCATTCACTGGGACATTTTTGCATTTCCCACATTTTTCCATTCAGGCATATATTTTTGTTCTTAAGTCTCCCGGCGCTTGCATGCATTAAATGCATTGGATAGAAATGTGAAAGGCATGGTAGCGACAGCGCTAACTGCCACTTCTCGACTAAAATTAAATATGTGCACTTCACAGTCAAATAATGCAAGGAAAAAGAATGCATGCAAGAACTTCCATTCGGTGATGAAGCCAATGCGGATCAGACGACGTACCAGTTGGTCCAGAGAGGCATCGTCGAAAGTGGGCGTTCGAAGTATGCTGTTTATTTCTGTACGTTTCGAAATTTTAGCTTTTCAGTCAGTCACGATCGTCTATATATATTAGATAGGAAGAGTTCGTTTTGCATCATTTCGGAATAGTCTGCTGCATGAATGAAGCAAGATGGCGTGATTCCCAAGAGAAACCCCACTTTCGAATTCCTGCCATTTGGCAGGAGTTCCATTTGGTATGGAGCATACGCACTACTATGTTCTGGATCAAAGGGAATATATGCCAAATGGTACAGATTCCATTAGGTCTAATGGATATTGCCCCTATTATGAGAACGGATTGAATAGGGAAAATACATTCAACATGGTCGCCCCAAGCGTATTGACGCACCACCATTCTCGAAATTCTTATTCCATAGTATCAAGGGGAGTACTTATTCGATTTCCCTCTTTTCTAGGCGGACATTTCTATAGGAGGCAGGGGGATGGTATCCATGACAGTTGACATTGGGCAAAACATGGTTTCGTCTGGAAGGACAAAAGCCTGAGTTGGCTAAATGAGAGTCAAGTATGGTACCGTATGACAAATTGTAACATTCAAACCTTAATTGAAACTTGATGATATATTCATTGAGTACTTCCGTGCTATAGTTCCTACTGCGGTTGGTACGGAAGCGAGACTATGTGAGAATGCACTTGGGTAGTTGAGGACTTCTCCATTTTTCAGTCATGTGAAAGTTCTTCGAAAAACAATGGTGCCGATGCTTGCTATCCGCCTATTGCTTCCACCCATAATGTTCGAGAAGAAAATGATTAGTCTGTAGAAGAAAGCGTGCGTTGTAGTATGGATACAAAGAAGAGGAATAAAACGCTGCCAACCCAAAGACACATCGAATATCGATCGGGAAAGATGCGCCTCCGACGCTGCGTTCAGAGGGTTGAGTCAGCGTTGAATCGAGCGAAGAGGAAAGAAGGGACGCATTTATATCTCCCTTGCTTTGGAAGTACAGCCAGTCCAGTTACGTCTCCACATTGGTGAGAGTTTCATTGTATATTGCTTGTTATGCGTTTTCAATTCAGCTCACTGTCTTTTTGCGTTTCCTCTTTTTAAAGTCCGTATTTCCCCTTTTTTGGTGTTGTACGTCTTAGTCGCTGCGGCATGAAACACCAATACGGGAGGATTTTATCATTTTATCTGTTTTATCTACCATCAATTAGATTTGATTGCATATTTTGATTCCATACCCACCCCAAGCATTTCTTAGCATCAGCATACTTTTTTGTACTCAATACGCTTGCCGTTGTTGCTCCTAAATTATTTTTTTTTTTTTTGGATCTGAAATTGATCTCATGATATACAACTAATATGGTTTGTTGAATGCCATAAACCTGTTTTCCAAAATCTGCTAACCTCCCATTTATTCATTGTGTAATGGTGTTACATCGAATCCATGACTGTGTCCCATCGGTAATTGGTGACACACTTCGCTCTGTTGGTGAAAGAAATGGTAGTTTCTCGTTCTAAAACATTTCCTCCGATCAAGTGACAGACTCTCAAGGGGATGAGTCATAGGTAGGGCAGAGTGCACAGGTATTACATTCTTAGGCGTTTCATTATTATGTGGCATTGTAGCCATTTTGCCATTAGCATGCATCAAAATTGTTTGCGAAAAATGTTTCAGTTTACTATGCAGATGATAGGAGTTTCCTTTTGATCCCTATGGCGAAAACAACCAATGAACAAGTATCTTTGCTAAACTATTCCTATCTCTCCAGAAGGGAAACTGCTGAACTATGCTGAACTATTCCTGTCTCCCCTTCTGGGGAGACAGGAATAGTTCATCATAGTTCATAGGCTTTACAGGTTCATAAGTATTACATATAGAATTGTAAAAAGCAGTAAACAGTTTATGGTAAGCGTAGTAACCATTTCATCCTCGTGCCAAGCGTGTTCATCTCCTTACCGTACATTGTTTCAATCCTAGCCCATGTTCATAAGCCGATGTGTACATAAAGGGCTACAGGTGTAATATGCATAGGTCGTAACGTACTATAAATACCGCGTTTTCTGTGACACCTAGTCTAATACATCTATGGGCCAAATACGGATTATGTGCATGGCAAATTCACGATGAGCTGAGCCATAATTGCGCACCTATTCGTGCATGCATGGGACAAACCGAGTGCATGAATGTGTCGCTCCATGTACAGTGTGGTCCATTCACACTGAATGAGACTTGAGTTTTTGGACATAACTATGCTAAATGTATTTTTCTCAAAATCAGAGATGGTTCCGTTGTTTAAAGAAAAAAATAAACGAACAAACATGTCATTTGGAATTACCATGGTGAAAAAAGTTGAAAATGGCCCACAGCGACCTCAGCCTACATCAATACATTTGGTTTGCGACTTAGCACAGAAAACCACCTTAACTCATTTAGAGCTCTGACAAGATTACCAAATATCACAAGGTAAAATTGCTTAAATGATCCAACGTCTATTGTGATGTCATTTCTCATGGCAGCGAAAGCAAATTCAGCAAAACAATTTCTTTTTCTTTTCTCCAGTCTATCTGAATTTAGTTGGAATCAAAAATATAAACATGAGAAATTCATAAAAGAAGACTTGAAAAGGCTTACCATGAATAATCCTAAATGGTACACTTTTCTAATAATCATTTCGATATATTTCTCTGTAAGTCTGACACAGAGTAATTATTTTGAAAAATTATAAAAGTCGGTCTTCCCAATGATGTCGAAGATGTCAACCATTTTGAGGTTCTTTGATTATGAATGTTCAATTATTTGTGAAATAGAAAATAGAAGAGGGTTTCCAGAGAAAATCAGCCTGCCCGAATCATTTTGGGAGTGAGTTACCAGTATACTCTCCATGATATGGGCAGTTACGAATTAATGTCTCCAAAAGGAGGTAGATATGAGAATTACAGGAAGAGTACCAGAGCAGTATACTGCACACTGAAATTATGGAAATTTTCCACGGCATCAGTTAAAAAGTATGAGTCAAAATTAATGATCGATTTTTAAATATTGCATATAAAGATAGGAGAAACCTCACATTCCCGAAAGACAATTGAACATATCAGATTTTTGCTCATAAAGTACTTATAGGAAAATCTGTCTTAATAATCGGGTTCTGAAAGTTGAATTCAGGCATCCAGCATTGACAAATGAGAAAATCGAGCATAATCCTTTGCCTCAGGGTTCCCACGTAACAAGTGAAAATTGAAAGAAAAAAGTTTCAGCCCTCAAAAGCTCTTCCACAGACGGCAAAAATGTTCTCATCACACAGGTCCGACTAAAAGAAAGCAATAGAGTTGACACACCATCGATATTGCCTTGATCCCGAATTGGGGTGTCCATAATATAGAAAACAGAGAGCTGTCTAGTACCAATCCTTTCTCTGCGAACGAGTGTCAGTCCCATTTTTGCAACTGCCTATCGGAGATGACCTCCAAAGAAGTTCCACAGAAAATGAAGAGAAATATGATTCTCACCTATCTCGTCTATTCCTCTGCAATGCTTCTCACTACGCTTCAGGTAGAGAATTCCATTTTGTACATAGGGGGAGTACCTTGTTCTCACGATGTATTGAACCTAACAGGCGCTGCAGTACTTGGAGCGATACCGAAGCAAGCCGACGTCGACAATCTATCGGTTAGATGAACGACAGAGATTTCCTCCACCAAAAATCAGCGTCTGTCGAACGCCATCGTTCAAGAGAAGGGAAATGGAACTAAAATCATTCTACAACACCAGCTTCCCTACATTCGTCAAACATCATGCATTCCTTCTAGACAATACAATTGGTCGATGCAAATTGCATGACCTTTTCTTTTGCCACCCACATCATCTTCCGAGTGGTATTTTCCAAAGCGATGGCAAGTCATACGTCTCCGAGAATTAGGGAAAAAAAAAATTTTCTTCCATCTCTATGATAGATTGGAACTACAAAAGTAATTTTGGTCACGATAGCTTTTCGTGTCAAGCCTTAGTATTCATGTCAAGTGAGATAAATCAGGCCCTTTTTAGGATAGATATATCCCTGGGAAGCTAATCTCATATATTTTTGTACGTCTCATCTGAGAATCTAGGAGTACCTTATGGTTCGTCAGGAGAGCGCTTCACATAAGGGGTATGTTTACTTTCCTTGGAGCAGTTGGAGAGTGGCGGCCCACATTATTCATTAACGAGGGAGAAGATAATTCCAAGAATTTCGAATTGAACCTATGTTACACACTCCATCACAATAAGAGCCTAGGATTCGGAGGGGAACGCTCCGGCTATTACCTTGAATTTGATATGACCCCGTATTCAAATGACAAGAACACAACATACTGGGAAGTGAACATCCATCGAGACCTGACATGGGCCTCCATGTACATGACGTCTACTTATACTACAGTCAGGGTGAATTCAGGAACGTATAACCACGTGACCCTCTCGGCCAAAGATGTCCATCAACTCAACACTCAAAACTATCCCTGTGAGTCCATGGACGGATACAGCAGAGACGAGGTAAGAAATGGGTTACATCGCCTGAGTTTCTTCGACCTTTTTTATTTCCTTTCTGCATATCTTAACTTTCTTTGTGCAGTGCATGGACACATGCCTATTGGAA